TTTTTTTTTTTTGTTTTTTTCCAAATTCTTTTAAAAAAAAAAAAAAGATAAAAAAAACCCAAAAACCTGTGTTTTTAAGGGTGAAGAGGATAAAGGATCATATTGTTTTTTTTGTGTCAATAAATTCAAGTTTACTGTGGCCATCCCACTCCTGTATCTCTTTTGAAGCATTAAAACCTATCTGCATGCATGAAACTGTAAAGTTTTTTTCCTCGTGTTATAAGTTTGTTTGAGCCACATGATCTCCACACAGCGACCGCTCTCCCCACCCCCCATGACCCCTCACCCCCATGTCCCCTCACCCCCATGACCCCTCACCCCCATGACCCCTCACCCCCGTGTCATCATGATACATCCGTTTTGCCGGTGCCACCGATGGGACGAGCGACAAAGGTCACGTCCGAGCGTGTGAAGTGGAGAAACAAACAATGATGAACTTGTAACTCTTACCAAAGCCAATGTCCATATGTAGTATATTTATTGTGATATTTAAAAATAAAAAATAAATGATAAATGATACCAATAGTGAAAGTGTAAAACTCCCGCTCTTTACATGCACACTGGAAAGTACAAATTAAATTGTGTACACGCCATCTGACACAATAATCCTCCTTAGTGGCGATTTTTGTCACACATGCAGTCGGCCAAAACATATTTTTCCTTTTTTTTTTTTTTTTTTTTGCTTTTCTTGTAATCTGTTGGCCGTGTGTGTAACTTTTTAAGGTGGGATTGCGTAAATGAACAACTGGGCGCCTTCTCAGTCAGTTTTGAAGTTTATTAAAGTTTATTTATGTCTTTCGATGTGTTATAACACAGTTCTAGCTCCACAGATGTACCACAAGAAGGAAGAACTCCGGCCACATCTTCATCAGATTCCTGCCTTTACTTTGTTTTTTTTTGTATGGAAACCGTCAGTGGCGGTCCTCACTTTAATATAGTCCTGGGCAAGCCTCTTCCTCCGAGGCCCCTCAACCCCCCACTCACCACCTCAACAAGGCCCATTTTGCAAACTGAGTTTTAATTATGTACATTATAAGAACCATTGAAAAGGAAACACACACACACACACACACAAATTGGTTTGGCTTAATGTATTGTGCTTTTTAAAACATTTTTTTCATAGATCTTGACGAAGTCGAGAGACTGAAACAGACAGGCGCAAACACAGGCTACATGAAGTACTAAGTAGAGATTGCTGCAGGTTTTTGTAAATAATTCCAATCTGTCTGTTTTATGAAATATAATAAATAAATGTTTCACACATCTCAAACGGCACCAGTAAAAGAATAATTCAGCCTAAACGTCCTGCTTTGTGGGCTTGTTTTAATCCAACGTGGTGTTACTACCAAAACAAAAAGAGTGTTTCTTTATGTTTTCATGAAGAGGCTAAAGAATGACACACTGGAAAAACCCAAACTGTCTTTTAAAGAATCTTGACTCGGTGCAAAAAGTTTCGGTTCAGATGTGATGAGAATAAAAACATTCGATTTTAAAGTAGAGACGGATGTACACACCAGAGTCTTCAAAGAAACACTGAAGCACTGCTTTAATCGTGTGCCAACCTGATGTTGTAAATTAAATTAATTCAAAATAATAGGCCAAATGTACCTAAGGGGGATATTTATAAAAAAAAAAGTACTTGCTACCCCCATGTTTTTGCTGCCCTGGGCAGTGAACCATGTCCATACAAAAACAACTGCAGCAGCGATTGATGCACAGTTAATGCACAATTAACACACTTCCATCCCCATCCAAGTGCATGCATTTTGCTATCTTGAGTCGTACATTATTTACGGAGCGATTGGATGTGGACATTTGCCGCAGGGTTTTTTTTCTCTCCCAGTGAACTTGCTAATATAAGTTATGTTAACCTTGTCGTGCGCCACTAATTTCAATAATCTGCTTTGATCAGATGTGTGCAGCACTTCAAGCATCTCATTAAGAGAAAACATCGCACACAGAGCATAAAGCCCAGCGCAGCAAACCTAATATATAAATATATATTTCTATATATAAAAGGTTGGTACCATCATCAATATTTAATGCGGTGTTTACAGGATGAATTCATAATGATCAAAGTGCCAGAGGTAGTGAGTGAAACCAAAGTCAGATCTCCGTCTAAGCACACAGTGACATCGAAAAGGCAGTTATGATAAGTGGGACATGTACAGTAAATAGGTTGGGAAATGGAGATAAAATAGGAAGAGCTCTGGTCCCTTTAGTTTCACAGTCACATGGTAAATCACACAGAAAGTAGAACGGTGGAGTGTATGAGCTGGAGAGAGGACAGTATATTCAGAGTATGATAATAACAATTTAGAATGTAAAGATGTTATGTTAAAAAAAAAGACCAAGTAGTAAAAACTAGTGTGTAATTTGGCAACTTACAGTTGAAACCATAAGATTACATTAACAGAACATTGTCTTAAATTAAATCAGACCAAACTTCTCTTGTTTTAGCTCAGTTAGAGTCACCAAAAATGATTCCTGTTTGCTAAATGCAACAATAACGAGAGGAAGGATATGTCACAGATTTAAAATGGCACTATGTGTCTGGCTAAAACACAACACTGGCCCTTTAAGGCCACACCTGGAAGACAGTGCTTCCTGGTTGATTTGACAGGAAAGTCAAAGGAAAGCAGACAAGGTATCAAGAAGAGAATTTTGCAGATGCACCAGTCTGGTTTGTCCTGGGGAACAATTTTCAAGTCCTGGTAAGAGAGTGATATTGTCCACAGTGAAATGTGTTCTGTAATGACATGCATTGAAAGGCCGCCGAGCGAGGAGGAAGCCATCCCTCCAAAAGAAACAAAACATTTTCATTTTTGAGTCCTGTGGTTTGATGAAGTATATTTTTTTATCCAGACTGTGGAGGAACACCAATGCAACCGGCTATAAAATGTCATCTTGACATCTGTCATGATGAAAACCTTTTTGTTTCTCCACACCATCACACAGCCTCCACCGAAAGCGTGTTCGACATCTGAGAGCGTTCCAGAACATTGTCTGGACTCTGCTGCTCGACCCGAAACACATAATCTTTACAAATATGAAACCATTTAGAGAGAACAGCCTTTGACTTTATCGCCAAAAAGCATTATCACAAAAAGGATTCATCAGTCACAATCAAGCACAAACTTCCTGTCTATTAGTCCTAAGTTTACATTCGTATTTTTGAGTTACTCAGTCACCAACAGTGGCGCCAACAAGAAATGACAAGTGGGAACAATAATCAACCTGGTTTTAGTAATGGATCACAATAACACATTTTGCTGTCCCATCCCAGATGGTATTGCACTAAACAATTATATTGAAAATATAACTGTTTATTGGAAATATAATTGTTTAGCGAGTACAGACATTCTGAACCGTTTTCAAGTAATACGATGCTAATGGCATAATGCAAACACACCCTGTTGTGACTTTTTTACACTTATATGTTGTTCAGTATATTTTGCATGATAAGTGACTGATTTACAATTATACGTTAAGCATAATTTACATGATGATTGTTATTAATTGTATTGAACATGACTGTATATAATTACAAAGGTGAAGTGGAATATATTTAAAGTGTGAGACATGATTTGTTTGAATAGAGGAAGTCTTTTATTTTGAAGAATGCTTAACAGGATCTGGTTCTGTTTCGTCAATACCTTGCTTTTGTTGATTTTTGGTTGCTAGGTTACGAACAGCTGTCGCCGTTTTTTTCTCTTCAATAAAAACTGAACAGAAAGGTTCAGTAACAGACATACGAGCCTCCGTCATGTTTGAAGAAGCTTTACTCCGTAACACGCCCTCCCAAAGATCAATAAACTTTCATTTCTATTTGAACATTTAACACTGGAACTGGAAGACATTTTAAATATGCAAAATGAATAAACAACAAATAAAATGGATATTTTATTTTTTGAGACTAATGAACCAGACTGAAGGTTTTGTCATGCAGTTTTTGGTACAAAGAGAGAAAGAGAGGCATGAGAAAACACAGAATCATGTATACAGAAATGACTGAGCTCACTTTATTTGATCATACTTTTAACTGATGAATTGCTTAGTGTGGCAGGCTTAAACACTTGGCAAGACAAGTAGAAAAAGTTTGATCAATAATGGACATGAATGATTAGTTCAAAGCTTATGAACCCACTAAGTACTGGCTTCCAAGTGACAGCAAAACGAAAAGAGCTAGAGTGGCAGAATGACCCAACATGTGGGTCAGTAGCAGCTGTAAACAGTCCTGACTCGACCCATGTGACCCCCTGCAGCGCCAGCGGCTGGTTCCCAGCAGTGAGTCTCTGGATCCTCCTGGCAGAACGACCTGACACAACATCTGAGACGCTCACAGGAGTTCCACTCAGTGGTCACACCGCACTGGTCAGAGGAACACTGCTGGTCCTATGAGGGCGGCTACCTCAAGGGTCACAGTGTTGATTCAGAGATACAAAAATAACCAGCCAGCTGGGGCTTTATCTTTTTTTTATTTTTCCTTCCTCTCTAGCTTTTGACAGTTTTTTTTTTTTTTTTTTTTGCAGAAAGAAGCAGGTAATGATGGCGCTGCTGGGCAGCTGTTCTGCTGTTGTCTACTCCATCACCGTTTCATGTGAAGCCTGTCTACCAGCTGTGTACGCTCACAGAGTCTCTGCTGTGGAGACGAAGAGCGTTTGAGATGATTCTTTTCTTTCTTAGAAGTCAAAAAAACCATGCGCTCTGAGACAGCTGTGCAAACGATGAGGCTGTTGTGATGTTGCGAATGTCAGATGGGTTAGCGCAGGTTTGTTGATGAATTTTGAGGTCATGAAAGGTCAACCAGACCCTCCCCAGCTTCTTCAAATCAGACAAAATTGGTGTCAATCAACTCAACTAAGTTTGTGCTGGTTTGTGCAGCAAAATTTTTTGTTTGTGCTGCTTTGGCTTTGAACATATTAATGAAAGTTTAAAGGTCAAAAGGTCAACCAGCCCGCCAGCCCTTCCAAATTTTTGCAAAATCAAAATGACCTTTAAACTTCTTTAATTTTCTTCTTCTAGGATCATTGCTCCCCTTGCTTGATGTTTCACTTTAGTCAATAGCTTTGATTACTGTTTTATAACCTGACCCTGCTTTAGACAGCTTCCTAACTTTGTACCATGGTCTTCATAATGCTGTTCATTCCCTCTTGGTCTCTAACGAACCTCACAGAACATTTTATTTTTACTAAGAATAAATTACACATATATGGATTCCATAAGGCCTCTCCTGATTTTATTTAATGGTATTGGAGTAAATGGGAGCATAAAAAAAGACAATTTGTCAATTTCAGATTTTTATAAAAAAATTTATATATATATATATATATATATATATATATATATATATATATATATATATATATATATATATATATATAAATGAAATGAATGTTAAAGGTTTGTGAAATCAGACGCATGCATGGTCTTCATTGGAGACGCATCGCCGTCAGTCAAGCCAAACTAGTCAGTAAAATAGATTTAATTTAAATTAAAAGAGGTTAAACACCTTGGAATCAAACAAAACATTCTGCTCCTAAAAAAAAAAAAAAAGTAGAAAATCTGGTGATTTGTGCAGGAGGAAAAATTAAAGATGGGCTCTGATTTCCTACAGGTTCCCATTTGTATCACAATTCTTTAGTTTTTCCAAAACTCCCTTTTTTTCTTCTCCACATTACTGGCAAATTATCTGCTGCATTTAAACAGCAGCCCATAAAATGATAAACAGATGTATATTTAATTTTCTATTTGAGAATAAGGGGAACTTTTACTCTCCATCTATAAAGTCGCATACAGAATAATTCAAATATACTTTCACCAGACTGCAGATCGTAAAAAAGGGGGAAAAAGCACTTAAGCTTTACAGCAATCTCCCACCCCGAAACACAGACTTACTGTAAATATTGCAAAGCAAAGTTATCACAAAGAATCTTGGAAACTTTTCTTTCCCTGTATTTTTGAGACAAGATATCCTACTGGAAACTTTTCTTTTTGTCCTTTTTTTTTC